CTACCCAAGCACACATCGTTGCTGCCCGTGCATGGTGGCCAACGGCAAGCACATTGGCAGCAGCATAGAGATGTTGTGCTTCTGCAGACGCAGTCAGTGGCACAATCAGCGCATCCAAGCAGCCCAAGACTTTGTGAGCTTTGTTGATCGCCTTGAGGAGGAACGTAGTTCCATGATGCTCCTTGACAAAGGTGACAATATCTGGGTGGTAGTAGTCCTCATGAATGTACCTGGATGCTCATGCAGCAAAAGCATTCTGCAACGCTACTGAAAGAGGGCAGCATACGCAATGAAAGGGAAAACACAATGTGATACCTGATAGGCAAGTTGCGCCCAGGATGACTTCTTGTCGCGATTCTTGGCCTGGACAACAAGAGGGAAACAAACCGATGGCTCCTGCAAATGCACGGTATGTTTCTGACTCCTGCTAAGATGGGGCTGCGCACGCTCAAATGTGCAAATTGCGTATGTGCGTGTGCGTGCGCAACATGCACGGCCCCCTGCTTGGAAAGACAACTTTTTCCCTGGCTCCTGTCAACACCTGCAAACCATAATCTGTTGCTTCCCTACGTATCCGGGGCTGTTGTCATTATGCAACTGTGCTGATGTGTTTGTGAGTGCTTGAGGGTCCGGCTGCTGCATTCCATCCCGAATTGCTGGGCTATGCCGGGCTGGCGGCCATTCTGGGTCTGACCCTTGCTACAGCAGCATCATCTACCAATGCTTCCGGAAAATGATGAAATTCAGAACCCAACAAGCAAGGCTGGTGAGGAAAAAAAGTCGAGATGTCCACGTAGAGAACCTCTTGAACTAACCCAGCCTGGGAGACGGCCAAATACCCCGTCTGCACCTCAACACCTCCGGTGATGCTCGACCATAGCGTATTGGGATCACCACCTTAGTCTGCATCACACCGGTGCTACTATTGATGCCTGGTAGTTCCTCAGCATGCCTAGCTGGATCTCATTCGATCTCAGAAATCAAACCGGCTCACGTGGCGCGATCAGCAAAGGCCTGCCACCCAATTTCACTGTCACCTCGCTGGCCTGGCAAGCCGGCCTTGTGAGGATACGAACATTTATGCACCCAATCCCGGCCACAGCGTTCCGATGCTGGTGCCGAGCTTCGAGTATCGACCACCTTCAGGCGGAAGGTCTCGGCAGCGCTGCTCGAAGAGGAAGCGCTTTTCGCCTACGGCATGCGGCTGATTTCGTTCATAGATGTTCTTTTAGGGCAAACAGATGGCCCTGGTAGATGACAAAACCACCAGGTAAACCAGGGTCATCTTCTTTTTCACCAAATCAAAAAGGACACCCATGGTCTCTTTGCCAATCCTACGGCATTGCCAAGCGGCAGGGGAAGTCCACACGTTGTGGGCCAGGGGCTGTCGGTTTTCCCAAATGATCACGGCAGCTCCGTTCGCCACCTTGCCATTCTTCACGTTCAGATCGTAACTCGGCATGTCGGCCAACCTCAGCACATGCGCAAGGCACACAGGCCGTCCCTATCGTCAAGTCCAAGTATTGAATCCCGATGCATTCAAGGAGCCTGATAGTTCCGTCACTGTTCCAGGTCCATTTGTTGAAATACTCAGCTTTGCCGCTGTGCTTGCGCAGGATGATGTTGCAGCCAGCTGTGATTTCCGTCCCCTCAACAGACAATGCCAGGTCTGGCTCCGCGGCCAGGACAATCAGCCCATTTGGTTTCACCAACCATTCGCTGCCAGCGGACCCCCCGGATTCCAGCACCACCACCTGCATGCTATGTCATAGAAGTTGGGTATCTTGTAGATGCGATTTCACCATGGAAATATAACACCATTGGGGTGTCTCGTTCTTTTTGATGGCACCCCTTTTATGGCTTGTGTGGACAACTACCAAAGACAACCCCTCTTTTTCTTTTGGGGCGGAGTTGCCTGAAAAAGATAGACACATTCACATACGAGGATCTATGTGCGACTCTGGGGAGTATTTCCGCCAATTCATCTCAACTCCGCGGCTCCGCGCCTGATGACCACGAGCTCCAAGGACAAATTGTGGCGACCTTGGGCACGAGGCGGGTACCACGAATTGGTGAGTTACTCCCCCGCAAAGATTGACGGAAGGAACCCAAAAAAGGGGTCCACCAAAAAAGAGATTGGAGTCCATGTTAAGCTGTGGGGGAGTATGCGAAACCTCACGTCCGAATTGCAAGCACGGCAGTGCCCAAGAATTGCCGGCTGTAAGTTCGGGGAGTGGCCCATTTCTGAACAGCGTCGGTAAACTCGGGAATTAAACTTGGCCTGGGATGCGCAGACGAGTCAAGGCGTGCGGGCACGTTCGTCTCATGCTAAGACTGAGGGCACACAAAGTCGCGAAGCACATGATCGCATCACTTGATGTGCCATTCCACGCCTTTCTAGGTTTGCCGCTGGTTTAGACTCGCCATGCGTAATGCCACTTGAGGTCCAGGTATTGTCAGACGTTCTGTGCGCTCGGCTATCTTCCACTACAGGCAACAATGGTTGAGCGAACGCCTTCCAATCTGGCGCCAAAATCCCGACCGGCGGAAACGGGGCTGTCAATCCCAACCAGAGGTCGGCACCATTCGGCAGCAGCAGGGTTCCTTCGTCCCCAAAGGGTCACCCCACCCAACAGACCAAAAAAAACATCCAATATGACAACCAGGCGGTGTTTCACAGGGAAACCTCTTTGCATGAACGGGACTTGAAGCTCTGGCCGCTCTCGGGTCTTTCAGCCGAAAGGCTGTGCGAGTCGGATCTCGTGACCCTCCTGGCACGTATCAAACATGGCTCGTTCGATGCGACGGCCATCCCAAAAGAAGGCCCAGCTCCAAACTAGAGACTTGGCTCATGCGTCTGTGTTTTGGGGCGGCATGAACGAACCATTCTGACCAAGATGTTCTTTCGCTCTCCCCTTCCTCTACGCTTGGCCCGGACAATGGAACATAGGCTTGCACACTATCAGAAACGCAAGATGGGCATTGAAAGCCCTATGCAGGGAATACAGAAAGACTTCAACAAGAAGAAAGCGTGTTTCACACCTGCGCACATGCATGCACACACACAAACCCCTGAAGGCCTCCCATCTGGTACAGTATTTGTACATTGTAGCAATGACGCAAACTTGAACAAGCAGCAGGCCTTTTGCTTGCCCGGTTCTCACCCGCCAAAATGGAAATAACACCGCGCATTCACTAACCTGTAGGTTGCATGCTTCACTCAACATCCTCAGGACTTGAATAAGCAGCACTTGTCCATCCCTTTTGCCGGAACATGTTGTTAAGTGGGGAATTGGTTTCTCACCGAGATGCGTCCTTGTTCTAACAATTCAAGGCAAACAGACCTTCAGCACCTCGCCCCATGTGAGTCACATGCGCCCGCGGGAAACATGCCCGAGGAAAGCTACCCCCTGCCGCCTCTGCAAACCACTCTCCGCCTGCAGGGTTGGACCAAGAACTGGATCCAGGCTGTGTCAGCACGCGGGACATTGGAAGATCACAAGCCAGGCACATGGAGCGAACGCATCTAATGATTTTTAGTGGGCCAAACGAGACCCTCTCCGCTCCTCCCAACCTGCAAAACAAAGGTTCAGGGAGGCTACAGCCAATGCACGTTGTAGAGAGGTGTAGAGCTGTTGTGATTGTGTAGCCCGCAGCTTGGGGCACTTTTTTATTTTTCTAGAAATCACATTGAGGCAAGTTGTTGCATTGTTCAGTCCTCCCTGGGTGAGGCGTGTCCATTTGGGGTATTTGTGGATTCTCAGTGGGTAACTCTGAGATACAATCAGGGATGCCAAAAAAAACACGCTTTTCTGCAACTCGTTACTCGGCTTCGCCACCCTGATGGAGTTGCAGACCCCCGAAGGCTCTCAACCCGCACCCGGGACCATGGTCACTTCATTCTGGAAATGCGTGGCGGAGGAGAGGGGGGGGGCCGCAAAGGCGGCCGAAAAACTGGTAAAACGGTTTTAACCTGCAAAACCTATGAACGCTTTCGGTTCGCGAATGGAGCGATTCTCCCCTTTCGAGTCAACTGATCCAACTGTATGACCCCCCTTCTCGGCCCAGCCTCTCAACCAGCTCCAGTCATAACCACCTCTTGCAAGGGGCACAAGCAAACACACACAAAATGTAAATGCAACTGCGCAATGAGCCAAAATCACGTAAGCACGCACCCGCGCACTTAGGATGAGCACGTCGAAAAGTCGCGTTCAGCTCACATGGCTCGATTACACTCTCTCAGCTCCAAGCCCCAAAGACGGTCATATGCTGCCATAGGATATCATACCTGGCTCTCCACTGGAGTTTCCCACTCGACTCGACCGGTGAAAGGGCCCCAGTGCAGCCTGTTATCTACAGACAACACGACACATTGCCAGTATCAGCTCAACACCTGGTGGGTGGGGTTGAACCGCCGATGGCTGATGGAACTTCAGGTCTTGAAACGCCAGCTGCAGCGTACTTGGGCACATCCCCTACGAACAGTGGCCCTGCATGGCTAAAAGCTATGGTAAGGTGGGTATGGGAAGCATGGCTGCCATCTGAATTACCTGCGAGGTCTCTCAACTCCATGCAACAGGATGCAAAGCCAGGTTGTCAAGCCGGGACTGCCTTGCCTGACATGGAAAGCAATGGCCAGGCTGCCCCTCTAGCGCTGTTCAGCCAGGCGGCGCAGGACTCTGGACAGGTCAAGGCGCGTAGCTTGAGGCTGGATGGCGGCAATCATCAACTGCGCTGTAAGCAAAGGGCCAACAAAAGAATCCAAGACGGCAGCCTAGGTCTGAGCACAGTCCCAAGGACCCCCTCTGCCTCTGCCTCTGGCCATGGTGCGAACATGTGCCCAATCATTGGCGCAGCCTCTCGCGTGTTCGAATTCGTTAAGGGTAAGTACCCACCCTCTTTCAGGTTCCACTTTTTCTTTTGGAGGGGGAGCATGTCCAAGTCTGAGGATCCCTCATTAAGTCAAGCTCGCATCCGAATCACCTTCCTGAGCGCGAGGCTCCTGCAGCCTGTGCTGCTTCCTGGACCAGCTTGGCCCCTTCCGGCACTGAAGCCTCAGCAACTGCCAGATCGTAGATTCCAATGTTGCTTCCCCGACTCCAAACTCAAACAAGTAAGTGACACATGCAGGAGGTTTGCACGTCACACAATTCAGTCAACCCGCATGCCCCCCCTTTTTGTTAGCAGGTAATTGATTTGAATGCCATTCTCAGGTGCTAAAATTCAAGCACGCTGCCACATGGCAAGCCTTTTGCAGCAGACTGTCACCCTCATGGATGCCCACACAATGCCCACTGCTTCCCTCCCCATTGCCAGGCCGAGGCCCAGGGCGGGCACAACGAGCTGAGCCATCGCTTTCGCCGCCGCGTGGCTGGCAATCTCCGGGTCCCCAGACCTTGGGTCGGGGGGTCAAACCACAGACAGAACTGGCACCAAAAATTAGGCAGCGAGTCAATGGCAATAAAAACGCCATTGGCTTGCTTCGTTCAGCTTGAAAAAGGCGAGGCCCGTCAACATCTGCAACATTGCTGTTGAGTTCCATCCTGCCGTGCGCTCGGCGCTCTGCAACTCACTGAGTCTGGCTGTCTAAAGTCCGTGGTGTTTGCTTGCATGTTCGCAACTTCTTGTGCTAGCTACCCTTCCAAAGCACGCGCGGGTTCCCCTCGCACCACTTATGGCATACCCAGCCAATGCCGCAGCAGCTGAGCTTCAGACGCGGCCTTCGCCTCGCGGGCAGACTTGATCCAGTAAGTTGTGGCTCGACATTTTGACCTCCCTCATGCCTCACGCCTGGCTAGCACGGAAGCCCGATGCCCAAACTTCTTTCGTCCAGCGAGTTTGGAGCCAAATAAACCACTCAGTACGGCTACGCGGCCCTCGCAGCTCACGGCCCTCGCTCCCTTTGCCAGTCACATCGCCCAACCCCGCGCCGGTCGCCCGCCTGCATGCCCACCCGCCAGGCTGCAGCGCCGGACTTGGCGGCGAGCTGGGCCACAGCGTCCGCCTTGGCTAAAAAGACCTGTGTTGTTCAGGGAAAGCCACAACAGAGAAGAGACCACAAGAGACCACAAGCAAACCAAAGAAAAAAGCCAGGGGCAGACTCACTTTTTGCCCCCTCCCCCCCCCCCCCCCCTGAGATGCACATGTCTAGTCCTCGAGCGCCGGGGCCCCAAGCTGCAGCAGCCTTCGCCGTGGAAGGTGCACCTGCGGCTGTGGCAGCCTCCGAGGCAACGCCGAGCCTGGGCAAAATGCATACTAACCAATGGGCATATACATATATATATATATATATATGTATATATATATGTTAATATACACATATGGTACTGTAAATTACAGTGTTTTCTCAACATGTTGTATATGTTGAGGCTCATCAGATTACGCATGCATGCAAACACATGTATACATATAACATAGCAATTTCAAAGTATAATATACTAATCTTGGTGTTCAACCTGTTCAGCAAGTGCTCCACAAAGCACTACGGGGCCTCCGAACAAAACGCAGTCCAAGACCCTCGCCGAGCACCAGTGGCAGTTCTGCTGAGGCTTGATGACTTCAAGCTTTGCCAGTGGGAGGATTTGGCGTGTTGTGCAGTGTTGGTGAAGTCGGTGGGTTGTAACCTTCCGTCCTTAGAACTTGCACGTCCTTTTAAAGGTCCGACCAAACACAACAGTGCAAGGGGGTTTTGTGCTCGTGTCATGCGGAACCAAGACGAAAGACATGTGGCCGGGTTAAGCAATCACACTCTCAATAGCGCTCAACTAACAGTTTGTCACTGGCGTGACACAATCCAATCCAGCGTCGACACTCTTAAGCTACCAAACCAGCTTCCCTCTAAGTGGTGGTTTGGATGGGTCGTTTCGTGGTTAGGGAGTGGTTTTCATCTACCCTCTACAAGAACTAGGGGTTCAATTTTTTACGCCACCAATCCGAACCACCGATCAAGGATAACTTGAAGAGACATCTATTGCTTCTTGACCAAAACAAGTGTCCACCGCCCTCAGGACTTGCATCATGCATCTGGGGCTTGCGCACTTCACTCGGCCAGGCGCCGCGATGGACCTGTGTTGGTGAAGGGCAGCACCCACCCGGACCGATGGCAAAGGCACCTCTTGCTACGTGTGTGCCCAACCGCAAACCCTGGCCCTTCTCACACAAATTGCCGGGTGGACAAGGCAAAACAAGGTAACACCAGCCCCCCCCCCCCACACAACCAGCTGACTGGAAGGAGTCCTTCAAAATCAGCTAATTCTCACTGCCCAAAGGACCCCAAAATAGAAGGTTAAGCTTTGGGGCCATGTCTGAACATGGATACTCATGTTTTAATTTCAATTGATGATGTATCAGAAGAATTAAAAATTGGGTCCAAATGGCGGATTATTATTTTTGTTGTATGGAATATTTAATTCAATGGTTAGAAAAAGAAATTGGACAGTATGAAGATGATTGCTTAATTATTAAATTGTCCAGGTCAATTCGCTTTGGGCCGCAAGGCCTCACTCTGAGCGCCCTGCCGCTCGTCTGGCCGCCGCCGCTGCTGCTAGGCGCCCGCTCAGCTCTGCGGAGCCTTCTGCGACGCCTCCTGCGACGCCCAGACCTGCCATGGGAAGCGCTGGTTATCCCAAAAAAGGCACTTGAGGTCCAAGAAAGATACACCTCAAGTGCCCTTGCCTTTTCCTGGGTTTCTTTCTTGGGATAGGGTTCTAAACAGATACTTTCCTTTTGCACTGGTGCCATCAATCGTTTGGCCTGATGCTTTCCACGGACCGCTATCCTGCGCTGGTCCGAGGGTCCGAGAGGCAAGTTTTGGGGGCCAGTGACAACAAGCACAACCAAAAAATGGCCGACATGTCAGCTCGATTGACACGCTGGCTGGCAAATCTCCATCAAGCAAGCGAGGGCACTTCATGTCAGCTGGTGCAGCCGGAGGTAGATTGACAGGGCTGGCAAATCTCCATCAAGCAAGCGAGGGCACTTCATATAATTAGTGGCACGCGGGGCGCTAAACCAACTGACATGTTCTACAATGTTCAACAGCGCGGCGCGGTCAGAAACGCATCGCTCGTGAATTGAGAGGCCTCTACTTAAGCGTACTTAGGTGAGTCTCCAACTGAAGAGCCTCCCGTGAAGCAACCCCGAGACAATCACCCTCAAAGCCTCAAACGAAGGCCCGCCCCCCTAAGCCTGCAGCAGCAGTCGCGGCTCGAGCTGCGGAACCTACGTCGCGTAGCTCTCTCTTGGCCGAAAGGCATCCAAACGTGGCCACCTCTCCATACTTGGTTCATGTTTAGCTTCTACACACAGGTGGCGGTGGGCGTAGCTAAAAAAACGAATCAACCAACAACTAGGGTTACGCTTTTTAGCTTTCGGTTCCATTTACCCAGGATGTACCCAGGTGCCATTTTGGTACATGTCTTGCTTTGGAGCCACTGCCATGTGTGGGCTTGGCTGGATGGGCCATCGCCAAGCCCAAGTCTCTGGCCTATGATGGCGGGCAGCGCGTCGTGATCGGCCACCTCCAAAGCGTCACACCGCTGAACTCCCATCTCGGGCGGTTTTCTGGGGACTCATCAGAATTAAACCCCAAACCCTAACATCGCCAAGGAAAAGACATCTCATCTTTGACGGGTTCCTTTCTCGTTTGAAAAAACGCCAAACCCTAGCATCACCAAAGTGCAACCTTGACGTCCGTGATCCCCGAACTGCCCAACTACCTCGCTCTTGTTGCGGCAACCCTTCGCCCTTGGGCGCCCGCTGCTTCTCCGCAAGCTTTGGCGATCAAGGCCACGGCTTGCTCCTTTGGCCTCGGCCAAAACCCCCGCCGCCCACCCCCCCCCCCCCGGCGCGCGCGCGCCTGAAAATTGGACCCTGGCGGTTGAGAAACCCAAAAAAAACCGCTTGCGGCCAGCCCAGGTTAATCAAGCTTCTCAAAGCCTGCGCAAATCCCTCGCTTGGCTACTTGGGTTTGTCTCTTGCGAGGGTGTCGCTTGTAGTTTTAATTCATTTGGCCAAAGTGACTGGAAACAATAGGCTAGCCTTTCGGAACCTCAGCCTAACGTGGACCAAATAAGGCAAAGGGGTAAAAGGTCAATTCGCTTTGAACAGAAACAACGATCTGCTGAGCGACCCTTCAAACCTCCCGAAATTACCCGCTTGGGCGGCAGCAGGCCAGTTGCCAATACCGCTGCCTGGCAAAAGGCAACCGAGAGGTTCACCATTGGACCAAGTGGCTCAAGAGGTGTTCAGTGGCTTGGCAAATAATTTCCTCACTCAGATAGACTTTCTTGCATCATGAAAACCAAAGGAAAACACCATACACACACATGCAACTGTGCACTTCAATGTTTGCAAGGAAAGAATGATCCTGCCTTAACGTGCTCCACCAGTGTGCTCGTGTTTGCTCCAGCCCAACTCTCCGCCACGTCTTTGGCGACCTGGCTGCAGGGCTGCGGGGCAGGTGCCCCTTTGGAATAGAACCCAATGGTTTTCACACAGCGCCCACGGACAGCGGCAGCCGATTTTTCTCAATAAAGCATCATCCCATGGTCGCCCCACCCTCTTTATGTTAAGCAACTTGGCCAAAGCACAGTGGCCAGAGCAACTGCTGATTCTGTTCAACTTTGTTGAATGTGCCCAAGGTGCAGCCCTATGAAAAAAAACCGGGATGTCAACCTGCGTGCATTCAACTTCCAAGCTTTCCGGGACCAAGCCCTCAGCTAAGGTGGCGACGGTGTTGGCTGCGATGGCTTGTGCCACAGTCTCCTGCACCAAGCTCCGAATTGTGCATTGGGGCGGGGGGGGCAGGGGGGGGCAGTTGCGACCACAACATGCCCCCAGCGAAAGGGAAAGCATGGGCTTCTTGACGCACCGCTACGCCCAAGCAATGCGAAGCCAGCTGTCTCTGAGGAACAGCTTGACTGCAATGCTGCTTTCTTTCTGTTGCAAAGTGCCCAGTCCGACTCATCGATACCGAGATGCTCACTTGCTTTAACAGAATACAACAACTTACAAGCAACAGCAGCTCGCGAATGGCCACAGCCAAAGTCACCTAAGATCAGTGAAGCACACAAGAAGCAACTACATATTTCACTTGTTGCCATGCGTCTCGAAGATTCCCCGCCTGGACACCAGCTGCTTGCGCCACCATTACTGCAAAGCTGCCCACCTGTAGCATGATCGCAGGATCCAAACCGAGGCTGAGGACTCCATCCAAACCATCACGCCCAATGCAAATGCCTGGGCAAACAACTGAGCCGCATAGTTTTGAACGGAAGAGGCAACAATGCTGTGACAGCCTCAGGTGATTGTCCTGCCTCACTCTGTCTTGTCTGGTACGGACATTTGCAAAAGCAGTCATGTCCGAAAAATCTGGGAGCCTGTGCTTTTTCCGCGCAAAGCAAGCAACCAAAGAAAGGGCTGCAACCCAAGTTCCAGGGCATCAACAACTGCAGGCCACAATCCTGGAGGCAGCGCATGTTTTGCTGAGTCACACGCCAGCCATTGGCAAAAAAGAATGGCCGAATGGCCAGCCAAAAACAGCCACCCTCCAGAGTCATAGGGCCCTGGCATCTTTGGCTGACCTTTGCGACAAGCTTCGATGATTCAGCCACGGTCGAAGTGTCCCCTGTCCATTTGCTTCTCAATGGCGAATGGGCTGTTGGCGAATGGCAAGTCCAGAAAGGCTGACGATATGTCATGATGTATTGCTTCTATATGTATATATGGGTATTAACTCCCTTTGGTGGACATAATTCATAGCCATATCACCGACTGGCATAAGAAGACATTAAGCCAGAACTTGGCCAACCGCAGCCAATGAGTCTACACACCTTGCCTTCCATGTCGGCTAAGTTGTTGGCTCGTTTCGGGCGATGCTCACCTGGCCAAAGAGAACGGTGCTTTGGGGCTTGGTGCTTCCAGGCACATGATGATCCGTTAAAACGATACTTGGGGCTTGGCGCTTCCAGCTAAATGATTTTATCCATTGGCACAATTGCTGGAAGAACTCGACCTGCAGAACAAATGGCGAAGTGATGTCCCTGACGGGGCGCCAACACAGAAAAATATGGTTGCTGTCAAACATGTGTTTTCATCGAGGATTCACTCTCAGGGGGGGAACTCTGTGACAGCAGTGCTTTGGCACGTTGTTGGGACCTTGCTTCTCGGTTTCGTAGGTAGTGCAGTACTTGAGGTAGCTTTTCCGACCTACACGCCTTTGAGAGGCTGACGCATGCTATTGAGACCTTGGTTCTCAGGCTTCCTGTCCAAACCTTCAGCCAGAAACAGCTCGTTACTTCACTTGAGGGTATCTTGTTCTGATTTGTTTCCCGAGGGGTCCTTTTCGTTGTGGTTACTAGGGGAACCTACAGAAAAAAAACCACCCAATTTGGGGGGGGCGTTTGCGAACATGACTCCGCCTTGACGGCGCAGCTGGCTCCAGCCTTGGCTGCACGTCGAGCCTGGCTAGCAGTCGCATTCACAAGGACCAGCTGGAGGCATAGAATTTGATGCAAAGCGCATGGGTGTGAGGGAGAGAGAGGGAGATGTGTATGTGTGCGTGTCTCTCTCTCTCTCTCTCTCTCTCTCTCTCTCTCTCTCTCTCTCTCCGTGTGCTTATGTTTGTGCATGTGTATGTGTACGTGTATGCATGTGCCCGTGTCTGTGCACACGTGCACCTGCACATGCACCTGCGCATGCACCTGTGCAAATCTACCCACATTGGGGTTTGAAATGCTACAACAAATTGTGCAAACAAACAAGCGATCTCCAGAACACGTTGCACGGGTTTCCCCTGTTGTTGCTAGCATGCTCTTCACACAGGCCACGACCCAAGAAGTCACTGCTCCCATCGCGATGCAAACGGGCGGCCATGGCCCTAAATTAAGGCGCTCTTCACCTGACCGGCTGAAGCTTGCAGCTCGCAAGGCGTCCTTTGCCGAATCAAGCGTTACCTGCTTTCATAGAGCAGCATACGCAAAAGAAACAATCAAACTATGCACAAGCGACAGGAGACAGCCATATCATCTTTTTCACAGCTTCGACTGACCCTTGCTGCGAGACTTGATGAATGCCTTCATCTTCTCAAACAGCTCTGCACCCATCTCCTTGTAGTACTTGAAAGCCACTTGCTGCTCGTTTTCGCAGCCATCCTTAAAGGACATGCCATAGCCATCATCCACCGTACGCTTCATCATCTGTAGCATCCTGGGGTTCCTTCACAGCTTTGGAACGGCAAGCTCTGTCACTTGCTACTCATGCCAACCAGGACCGGTCACAAATCCAAATTGAATGCAAATCCCACGTAGGAATGCTCTTGGAACGATGGCTTGCCCCACTGACAGGTGCTCAGTTCTGAGTTCTGGCGGAGCGGTAAGCCCAATGCGCCGAACCCTTTGTCATACCGAAGGTGACCTGCAACTATTGTTCTTCCCCACAGTTCGCTCACTGTATTCAACCAACACATGCGTTTCTGCACTGACACGCGCAAAGCAAGCACGCCAAATGGGTGCGCCATGTTTTAGGAGACCCCAACATTGGTGGCTGTAAAGGGGAAGCAGAAGGAAAACCAGTCTCTTTTTGTTGGGGGGGGGGGGGCTGAGCTAGGCCGAGCTTCATCTTGGCCATCTCTTTTGCGAGGCTGAGGCAATGGGGCATCAACTGATCAGCCGGCACCACGGAGTTCACAAGGCCCCAGCTAGCCGCCTCCTGAGGAGGCTGCCAGGAGTGAGTGAATCTGATGGCTCATTCCCTGACTTCTTGGTTTTCGGGTTTGAGGACTCCAAATAAAAGCTGAGGTGGCCCGGAGTTCTGAGGCACTGCTGGCATTCCACATACCAGAGGGTGGTTTTGGGGGGCTGGCGCTAGCAGCCCAGGTGGTAGCACAGTCTAGTCGCGAGTGAACAGCGGGTTTGGTTTTGGAAAAGGCGTTGCGTGATACTTTAGGCATGGCCATGACAAAGATGGGACATATGTAAAATGATTTCCAGAGAGGGTCAAGTGGCAAGTTCGATCACCTCAACCTTCCAAAATGTTCCAGAGGCTTGATCCCTCACTAGCCACCCAAGCTAGATTTGCTTTCGGTCCATTCTGGGTCGCATTTGAACATTTAAGAACCAAGCATCAGAACAAATATCAGCAAAAGGGAGGTTGAGCTGGGAGACGCAAAGCCGGATTCAACAAGGGGTTGGCAATCCAAATGCTAAAGTTGGTAAGAAAAAAAGCCCAAGATCCACCCGTGATTCTTTCAACACGCTAGACCCACAATCCCTGACCGGCAACTATGTTTTTTTTGGCATTTGTTTGGCACTGGTAAATGATCAGAATCAAACTGACACCTCCAATTGGTTTCGATTGGTGGTTTGGTGGGTAGTTTCCCATTTACCCTCCACAAGAACCAGGGGTTCAAATCTGAATCCAAACCACCAATCCAAACCACCAACTAAGTGTTTCCCACACAAAAAAACTTGTCAACAGCAAAAAACCAACCCCCTACCCTCCCTCCCACTAACATGGCACCTATTTCGAAGGTACCTGGAAGATAAATTTCCTCTTGCAGGTGCCATCTACCAAATGCCATGTTAGTTGGAGTGAGGGTACTTAAAAAGAAAAAGGAAAAAAAACAACACAAAAAACAAAACAAAACAAAAAACACACACACACTCACCAAGCAAACATGTAACAATTTCCTGTTGGAGGTGTCCCGTAAGGTGCCATCTTAGTGTCGAGTGAGGGAATTTCAAAGAAGAACACCCAACAAACATGTCACTCTGACGGGCCGACGGGTAATTGAAAGTTAAACCACCCCACACATACTGGGACTCTAAACGACCCCCGAAACGACCCCAAAACGCGCCCGGGGCGTTTTCCGTGCCCGCGATCCGCAGGGCGCCTGGGCTTTCAGGAACCGACCCGTGAAGTGCAGCTCCTTTGCGCGGCTGGGGCCCATGATCCGCGCCAGCTTCTGGCCTGAAGCCGCAAAAACAAAAAACGCCAGAAAGTGGGGGAGCGGGGTACATAAAACAAAATAAATAAGTAAATAAATAAATGAATGCATAGACAAACAAACAAACAAACAAACAAACAAACAAACAAACAAACAAACAAGCAAGCAAGCAAGCAAGCAAGCAAGCAAGCAAGCAAACAAACACACAAACAAACAAAAACAAAAATAATACTCTATACAAAGTGCGCGGTTTGCGTTTGTTGGACAAGTGCCATTTTCGGCTTTTGGGGGGGGGTGGATTTGTGTGGTCGTCTGCTGTTTGTGCTTCTTCCTGCTTGAGTTGTTTGTTTGGGTTTGTTGCGACTATATTTGCTAGTTAAACGCCGCCTGGCCAGGAAAGAGCTCAGTTTCCGTGCCCCCAAGTCATTGGTCCCCCAAACTGGTCCGCAGGGTTCCGCCCTTTCACCACCTAGCCAGGGAATGCTTTGACAATGATGGGGAATATGCGCTGGCCCAAGAGTTCCCCTTGAAACATCCCGAACCAGGAAGCTCACATGGTCACGCACGGTAGTGTTTACAGCACTGAGCCCGCAGGGGCCAGGGGCCTTGTCATCGGACGAGCCCATCCATGCGGCATCGGAATATCTGCCCATGGAACCTGCAACACCTTGAAAGCAATCCAGCCATTCTGAAAAATGTTTCGAGGGGTTCAGGGTTGTCCAAGACAAGACTTGATGAGCAAGGAAAGCCAACCTGGAACCGACATGGCCAAATGCAACAATTTGCGACACGAGACTTCGCGTCACTTCGCGTCAGGTTGCTCAACCCCCAGGCCGGGGCAATGCCGAACTTGGAGTGGGTATCAGCGAAGCTGGCATTCTCACTGGCGATGAGGATGTCTGCGGCCAAGGCCAACTCAAAACCGCCGGTAATGGCGAAGCCGTTCACTGCACAGATCACCGGCCAGGGAAAGCTCTCGATCTGTACTCGTGGGTCCTTCTCCGCGGGCGTGGGAAAAAAGCCGGTAAAGATGCCGTCCGCCTTCATCAAGTCGATGCCGGCAGAGAAGGCCTTCTGCCCTCAAGGTTGGTCTCTCTCTCTTTCTCTCTCTCTCTCTCTCTCTCTCTGCCGTTGCGTCCAAAGGGTCTTGACTCAGCCCTGAAGGGTTGGTTGACTCAGCCCTGAAAAATATGTGCCTTCGCCATGTTTGGGCCTCTCCGCGAGGAATCCGAAAGAACCACCCTGTCAACGCAACCATTTGCGTTCCGAGTGGGTTCAAGAAGGACCACCCGAGCCTGAACCGGTGAGAATGACCGCCCTCACATTCTTGTCTTCCCGGAGGCTACGGAAAAGGCTGGCGATGTCTGTGATCATGTCCTCGGCAATCCGAAGGATCTCACTCGGAGAGGCCCATGAAGCAAAAGCCTCTGATCTTGGTTTCAAAAGCGCCGGCGCCTGGCCCATGAAACAAATGGCTGTGGCTCAAAAAACCCGTACCAAAATGGAACCCTGGTAAGTAGAAACATGGACCAAAACCTGCTCAACCCCTCCTGTGTAATTTTGAGCCACACCCAAATCGAACCTGGAGAAATCCTGAGACCCAAAATAATTTAGCAGAGCCGCCATGGTCAAAGCATTCTGCGCATCCGGCCGGTTCAGAGTGACGATGTGGATGGCACCGCCCGCCTCTGTGGTGTGGGAGATGAACCCCGAGGTCGCCATGATCCGGAGACTTGAGCTCTATGCTGCGGGTGCTGCCAGTTCTTTCCTTCCTTCCACTTTGCCTAAAAGGAACCGCTAAGCCATGCATACTACATGTATGTTTCATATGCCTATTACAACAAAAACAAACAAGCACATTTATATATATATATATATATACATACACACACATATATATATATATATATGTATACATATATATACATATATGTACACGCAAATATATATAATATATATATATATAAACATATATAGATAGAGACTTGGGCCTTTGGCCCAGCAATCTCTCGACGCCGCTGACCTTCGCCCAGGGTTTCTCTCTGGGCTGCCCGGCCGCCAGCGCTTTGTCCACGCCGATGGTGGCGAGGGCCTCCTGAACGGCCCGCGCGAGGTCCAGCGGGGCGTTGCCTCGCGCGGCTCTCGCGGACTCGGGGAGAAGGCGCTTTGGCCGTGCCTGGGCCGTCTGTTTTCAGATCCCCTGCTTTGTTTGTTTGTTTGTTTGTTTGCTTGTTTCTTTCTTTCTTTTAGCGGGGTAAATGAAAACTACCAAAACCGGAAAAAATGAATGGGAGCCAACAAGGTTTTTGGAGGAAGCGCTCTTTGCTTGGTTGCTGGCAAGACCCCTCTGCAAAAAGTGCTTCACTGTTTGTGGGCTCAAGTCGGAAAATCCGAGCTCTTTCAACAGAAAAGTTAAAGTCCAAAGATCGAACCGGATAGCCATCAAGTTAGGGTTGAGGGAATGGCACCAATCGAAAATCACCCTGATCAGAGCTGATGAGATTGTCTGATCAGGGGCCGGGGGCCCTGTGGCGACCCACAAAAGGGCCTCCTCCCTTCTGGGCGGCCATCCAGGTGAGCCGCTGCTCCTGAGCCATCATCTTTTCTGGGTGGGTGCAAGAACTTTCTCATCCTTGACTCATTCTGGCTGGACAAGTCGGCAGGAAGCAAGAGAAGCCTGCTGACCCTGACTTCAAGCTGATTTTGGTGATATGTCATGTACCCAGCAAATGTCTCAAACTCACCATGGAGCATGTTGTTCATGGAAGTCGACCCCTCCAAGGTGGGGAAGTTTTGTGAAAGCTCTCGCCATGACCCTCCATTCGTGCAAGCCACTGCCACTCGAGCAGCGATCGAGGAAACCTGCGTTTTGGAGAGGCCAGCACCTGGCGAAGGGTGCTTACGATTACACTCCTCAAAGCGCAAAACAAAACACGAGGCCAGTGAGAGACCAAGAATGTCTCTGTCATTCTATCAGGCAGCCCTGCTTGGGTATAGTAGCACACACGTTTTCCCACGAAAGGGGAGGTTGCTGCAATGCCGTAGGGTGCTGGCCCAGCCGGAAAATCCCGACTCGGAAGATTGACACGTTTCGATCACACATGCCGAGCAGCAACAGCTGCGAATGAGTACCGGCAAGCCGTAACAGTTCGGGGCCTGAGATGGCTCGCACTGCAGCCTCTGCCACCTTCGCAGGATGTCCATGCAAAATGCCTCTGCTACGTGTGAAGGGTTGATCCCGTCAACCCTGGCATTGCCCCTGGCTTCCAAATTCATATGGCGCTGGACAAGAACGCATTCAATCTCTTGCCTCCGCAGGGCCGCCCCCGCGGCGAGCGGATTGCTCGGCAGCATCGGAGGCAGCCATCTGCCTCCGAAACCCAACAAATGTCCAGAGCGGGCATAACCATCATATAAGCATGCAGCCACGAAAACCATATAAGCGCAATATACATTTGCAACCGTATAACCATATAACCATCTAACCCTGTACAGGATTCTCCGGTGACACCTCCATACACTGCATTGTTACCCCTCAAAGGGAACATGTATGGGGAAGGTTCCCTTCATACACGGGTACACAGCAGGCAAGGATCTTCGCAAGTGCTCATAGGCTTCTCCGAGCGCCCGACGCTGCCAAGCGCAAAGCTGATGGCGCCCCGGCCGCGCGGGCAGCATCTGTCACCTAAGCGGCGCTAGTCCAAAGGCAATGTTCCACTTGCGGGGATGGGTCGCCATCTTTTGGGCCGGTTTCAAAGGAGAACCAAAGGGAAACGCTCGGAGTGCGCAGATTTGATACATGCCAATGCTCCCTCAGATTTGTCGAGCTTCACATGTGGCCAGTGGTCTAACATCACTCGGCAAAAGTGCCGCAGTCTTCACATGTGGGAGCACGGCTGGCTTTCATGAGTGTTGCTGAACCAACTGGCGCCCTCGCAGGTCCGCATCCGGATTTTCTTGCGCGAAAGCTCCAGGGCATGTTTTGCCCTTACTCCGAAGTGTCCTCCTCGGCAGCTTCAGCGGCAAGGCACACCTTGGCTCAGGGCGCGGGCAAGAAACCACCTGGGCACGACAAGCCAAAGGTAGAATGCAAGAAATGCCCTGGCTGTTGCAACATGTGATTGTTCAAGGGGGTGTGCCTCCAAATCCTGAACACACCTGACCCTGAGACAAGGGGCTCGGAGGAACGGGTACTTGCGAGCCTCAGCACGCTCTGGCACCATGCCAGCTCCCAACACAAGCTCCACGATGATTATTGCGGTGGAGCCACCTTGCTCACAGGGCGAAAAGTCCCGGAGTACGGATAGCTCTCAAATTCGTAGTGACATCGCCGGCACGCCCAGCAAGGGCCAAGAAATCCACAGACCTCAGCGGCAAACTTGGCAAAGTTTGGGCAATCAAGTTGCCGGGCGTTCGTGGACTGGCAACTGGCCTATCCGGGCCTACCAGCATATTTTATAACAATATGGATCCATAAGAGCAGTTTACCTGCAGGCGCCTACCAACCTGCCGTGTCTGACATTTGGCTGTATCTTTCTTTTGGGACAACAGCAAATTGGTAGGTTTCCTTCTAGCTGTGCTTCAACCCCCCCCAAAAAAAAAAAAAACAAAAAAACACGAGGTATCCCTCACACAAAGTCAAGCCCATTTGCTCCTTTTGGCCCCGGATCTCAACCCTGCCTCTGTCAAGACCAGTGAGCCCTGGCGGTAGTGGGCGGCCAGCGGCGCGCTGGGAAAGCCATAAACGATGGGCACGATGGCTTCCTGAGCTGCGCCTTAGAGAGCATTGAGCCGCTTTGCATGCAGGCCGCTGCAACCAAGGGGTCACCTTCGGATTTCCCATACTTTCTTTGCGATCACCACTTTTGGAGGTCCCATTGAAAGGGACAAATGGAGGAAACCATGAACAAGAAGCCGCATCGACTGAGGTAGCGGCATTGTGGGCAGACTCTGCCCAACTCCTGGCAACATGGCGCAGGAATGGAAGCGTGCCATTCGCACAAGCCTAGTGGCAGAAGCGACGACTCCTTGGGAAAGTTGTGTAAGAACATGCTTCCTCTGAACATGCTGAGGCGAAGAAACGTTGGTAGGTATCAAACGCATAACGCTATGTTGCATGAGAGCCGTCAAGGCACGTCGCACAGTCCTATTTCCCAAAAAAGCTTGATTCTTGAGGGATCAACACTTCCGAAACAGGTGAACCAACACACACACACACCTCAACTGCCCAAAGGACCTGGACATAAGAGGTTCACCTTTAGGAACCTCAACTAAGAATGGGCCACATCGGGCAAACCAAATGGTTGAAAGGTCGGCTTCCGTCAAGTGAGACGGCTAAACGGAAAGTCGGACACCGGTAGTCGGACATCGTGCTCGGGGAGTCCGACACCGGGGACGACGCGAGTCGGACATCTAAATGTGGCGTTGGTCGGACATCGTCACGTGACATCACACGGACAGGAAACAATGAGTTGCACGGTCAGTTAGATATAAAAGAAGGGTGTTAAAATCGTTAATTAATTTAAACCCTGTTTTGTAGGCTCTTGCTTCGGTAACATGTGTCTGGTGATTCCGGAACCTAGTATCGCCCATCCCAACCATCCCGCAGGTCCCGACCGCCCACCGTCCCCACCGTCCCCACCGTCCCCACCGTCCCCACCGTCCCGCCCATGCAACATCCCGACCATCCCGACCGTCCCAAACGTCCATCCCGCCCATCCCCACCATCCCAACCATCCCGACCATCCCGACCGTCCCGACCGCCACCGTCCATGCCCACCGTCCCACCATCCCGACCGTCCCGACCATCCCGACCATCCCGACCGCTACCCTATGTCTGCGCATGGTGCTAGGCAAACTTGCTAAACATCACGTTCGCCTTCCATACAAGATGCATACAAGATGCATACAAGATGCATGCATACAACATGCATGACACCTGCACACAAAGGGCATGAAAGATGCGTGCAACATGCGCACAACAGGCATGCACAATGCATACAACACGCATATATGCCATGCATGAAAACAACATGCATGCAACAATCATACACAATGCATGCAACATGCATGACATTTGATACATAATGCAGACACAATGCACACGCCGTGCACACAAAATGCAGAAGGAAAAACACGCATACAACATGCATGCAACATGCACACTAAATGCATATGTCATGCATACACAACGCATACAACATGCATGCAACATGCACACTAAATGCATATGTCATGCATACACAACGCATACAACATGCATACAACATGCAAACACAATGTATACATCATGCATACAACGTGCCTTACAAAGGCATGCAACATGCATGCAACATACATAGAACATGCATACATCAGTCATACACAAGGCGTACGGCATCCATACAAAAACTATGCATTACGCGTACAATACGCATACAACATGCACACAAGGGTGCACACAAAATGCATACAACAGGCACGCAACACGCATACAGCATGCATACACAATTCATACACAACACTTACACAATGCATACAGCACGCCTACAGCAACAACATCATACAAAATGCATGCAACCGCATACAACATGCATACAACATGCAATGCAACATGCAAACAACAGGCACACACAATTTATACGCCATGCATACAAAATGCATACATCATGCATACCAAATTCAACCGTCATCCAAACAGAGATCGTGCATTGCGCATACAAAACGCATGCAACATCCGTACAGCATTCATACAATATGCATACCAACTGCATACACACGCAAACACAATGCATACACCGTGCAAAAAACGTGCACTCGTCATCCATACAATGTGCGTACAATTATGCATACATACAACATGCATGAAACATGAACAAAGTGCATAAAAGGTACGTGCAAGCCGCATACAACACGCATGCACAATGCATACACGCATACATCATGCATACAACATGCATACAGCACACACACACACACCATGCATACAACGTGCATACAACATGCATACAACAAGCATACAACAAGCATACACAACGCATGCGCCATGCACGACATAATGCATACACAATGCGTACAACATGCATACAGCATGCGGATGCGTACACCGTGCATATGAAAAGCATACACCTGGCATACATAATGCATACATAATGCATACAACATGCATACAATATACAATGCATAATTGGCACCTAGTATCAACAACCCGAACAAACCTCAAACAATTCCAACTCCAAGGAAACCCAACAACAAATTGAGCTTAAACAATTTGTGGGACAAAGCAACAATCTAATCTATTTGCATAGTTTCATTCAACACCTTGCCCTAATCAATCCCACAAAGGGGGGAGTACTTGAGGAATCAAACAGCTTTTTTTAGGGGCTCCCGAAAGAATGATGTGCAGCGCCCCCCCCCAAAAAAAACAATGAAGAACTGTTTGCCAAGCATGCTGGCTCAATGCGTGTCAAGAGGCCTGATTTTCTTAAGAAATGAACCTGAGAGTCAAGGTTTCTGTTGGGTGGAACTTCACCTAATGTTTTCGATTTACTTAAAAATGGCCCGAACCAAAATTTAGGTGATTGGCAGACTTAGGGTGATGCATCCAACATTACATTAGATTACATTAAATTACGTTACATTACATTACACTACATACATTACATTACATTACATTGCATTACATTACATTACATTACAGTACATTACATTACATTACATTACAATACATTCCATTACATACATACACTACATTACATTACATTACATTACATTACATTACATTACATTACATTACATTACATTACATTACATGCATTACATTAAATTACATTGCATTGCATTACATTACACTACATTACACACATACATACATACATACATACATACATGCATGCATACATGCATACCTGCATACATGCATACATGCATACATGCATACATACAAACATACAGACATACAAACATACATTACATACATTACATACATTACATACATTACATACATACATTACATACATACATACATACATACATACATACATACATACATACATACATACATACATACATACATACATACATACATACATACATGCATACATACATACATTACATACATACATACATACATACATACATACATACATACATACATACATACATACATACATTACATACATACATACATATACATATACATACATACATACATACATACATACATTACATACATACATACATTACATACATACATTACATACATACATACATACATACATACATACATACATACATACATACATACATACATACATACATACATACATACATACATACATACATACATACATACATACATACATACATACATACATACATACATACATACATACATACATACATACATACATACATACATACATACATACATACATACATACATACATACATACATACATACATACATACATACATACATACATACATACATACATTACATACATACATACATACATTACATACATACATACATACATACATTACATACATACATACATACATACATACATACATACATACATACATTACATACATTACATACATACATACATACATACATACATACATACATACATACATACATACATACATACATACATACATACATACATACATACATACATACATACATACATACATACATAC